ATATATATATATATATACATATATATATATATATATATATATATATATATATATATATATATATATAAACATATAAACATATATACATATATACATATATATATATATATATATATATATATATATATATATATATATATATATATATGTAAACCGTTAACCTTTACAGTTCGAGCTACTTGCACTTACTTACCCGTGTGTGGCAGTGGGGGATGTGTACATATATATACATATACATATATAATTTTTTTTATATAAACATATATACATATGTATATATATACGCACGTATATATTCATATATATTACACACAAAAACATATATATATACATATATATATATATACATATATATATATATATATATATATATATATATTCTTTGACGCAATTTGTAACCTAAGGATATGATGGTCAAAACTTTTGGCTCGATGTCACGTACACGGCAGACGTCGGCAAGTACATACATATATACAAGTATATATATGTATGTGCGTGTTTGTAAATATACATATATAAATATATAAATTATATAGATACATATATGTTAATATATATGTGATTTGGTCTCTGATAATCAAGTATATATATATATATATATATATATATTATATATATATATATATGTATATATATGTATATATATATATGTATATATATATATATATATATATATACATGTGTGTGTGTGTGTGTGTGTGTGTGTGTGTATTAAATACATTATATATACATATGTATATTCATATATATACATTATCACAAATTATTTACATAAAAGTTAGAGAGAGACAAGTGCTAGGTAAATTCCTAAAAGCGTGGTACATGCAGCAATCTCGAAGAATCAAATGGGGTGGGGTGGTTTCACAGCTATTTAGAATGAACAGTGGTGTGAGGCAGGTATGTTGATGACGAAGAATTAATTTACTAAACCATTGCACGGGTGGGTTGCCATTTAGCAAGAACAGCGGTATATAACTCTTGCAGATGATCTAGCCCTTGTTGCTCCGAACACTGCTGGCCACTAGATCACAGACACTGGATCTGAAAAGTAGCGGTGCAGAGGGTGCCAATGCCGTCCAAAAAAAGTTCACGATGGGTGCTGGTGTTGTGGGCGGGAAGGGTTGGCTTGTCAGACCCTGGCTAGATTGGTGTTCACGAAAACCTACCAAAGTTATTGTCAGCCAAAAAGATCATATGTCTATCAGTTACAATGAAAACCTCACAGTCAACATATGGAGCTGTTGTTGCCCTACATGAAGTTGACCACACCATTTCTGATGTTGCACGGCAGCTTCGTATCCTCCGCAACATAACATAAAGACACAGCAGTATGAAGACACTGGTGACATAGAAGACATGACACGAATCGGCCTGCCACGTTGCACCAGCCACAATGAGAATCAGGTAAATTATGTGATTGACATGATACTCTGCCAGTAGAATACTAATTATAGTTATATAAGGCATAAGGAGGACATGCTAGTGTGTAAACATTGTTTGGCTGTTTGGATGGATAAACACCAGTGGTGTCGGTGAGTTGGCTGACATTGGACCGCGCCAGTTTACCGGTGCAAAATATATCGAAATGCTGGATGAGGTTTTGTTACCCTCTATGCAGGCATGGCTCCCCCCCAACAATGAGCCTTCCAACCTCATTCAGGATAACAACCCAATCTACATCACAGCATCCTCACATTACACTACTGCCACATCCACTCAGATCCCCAGCCTTGAACCCTATTGAGCAGACCTGGGCAGCAATGGGGAGAAAAATGCCAGACCTAGAGTGGTCTTGGACTCCAGCTGTAGTCGCGGCTGCTTTGGAAGCGTGGGAACAGCTTCAGCGCTCCTGGACAAGCCTTCACAGGTGAATTGGTGGCCTCCATTCCTGGACAGCTGAATGCTGTATTGATACTGACAATTTATAAAGTTGTTGCATGTTACTTTCGTTTCCCTAACCATATGATATATATTCTAAATATAGTCATATTAAGAGAATATCCTAAAATAGTAACTTAATAATCCTAATGGATCATATTGTCATTATAGGAAGTCAATCACCAATTCATCAAAAGTGCACAGGTATTGTACTTTGTAGGTGATGTGTGGACATAAAACATGAGGCGTATTATCACAAGATAAGAGTCACTGTTAGCATTATCAACACATGATAGCCCTGTATAAGTAACCACCAGTGTAAAACTTACCGTATGTTTATCTCCCATGATAAATTAACAACGCCACACGGTATAACCAACATCTGCTTCTATAAACACTTACATAAGCCGTATAATTATAGAGTAGGAAGGGGATATTGGTACTGGTAGTTGTCTTTCGACATCAGGGTTACCAGCATGTGGTATGTCGGACACCATCATTTCACTGACGTTCACACTGTTGTCCAAAGTGTTTCACGCACATTGTGCACCGGTACTTTTGCGATCTAATTATATCACTGCGAAATCTGTGTACATGTATATCAAAAACAGGGGATTCAGTT